GGGCGCGGGAAGGGGGGCGGGGGAGAGTGGGCGTGGGAAGGGGGAGCGGGGGGAGTGGGCGCGGGAAGGGGGAGCGGGGGAGAGTGGGCGCGGTAAGGGGGAGCGGGGGAGAGAAGGGGAGAGGGAGCGCGAAGGGGGAAGATAGATAATTTGGGCATACATATAAAATGCTGCTGAAAGAAGCTCGAAAAGGTTAGAGTAGGCAGGGATGATGTTTGCTGGTTCAATTTTATGGCAATGATAAATTAATCAGTTTTTATGCGCTTTTTCAAATTGGGGACGTTAGCTTTTTAATGTGAATATGAAAAATGAAAAAATAAATAAATTTTATCGGTACAAAAAATTTGTGTACACCTCATTTAAATTTTTTTTTTTTTTTACTTAATTCTGCAGTATAAAAATCTTCTCTAGTTAAATTTGTAGTTTCTAATTCTTAAAAATTATTATTTTAAATTCGTATTAACAAGTCTTTAAAAATGTAATACATTTGGACTTTGTATTTTTAACATTAAATAAGTTGTTACTTTTCTTTTTTTTTTTTTTTCATTCCAAAAATATACTCTTATTAAATTAACGTAATAAAAACGTAACCTTTAAATCCACTTTTAATAAGAAAAGGCCGTGTTAGGTTAATCTGATTATTCTAATCGGTGCCGTCAAACACCATAGCCAAATAGCATTCACTAATGCACTTATCACTCATCCAAATAGAACAAACCATAATATGAATTGCAAAAAAACGTGTTTGCTTATGTAGGGGGCTACAATTCCGGGCTACAATCCCGTGGATGATTTTATTAATTTTTAATAAAATCTGGCGGGGATGGGGGGGGGGGTGATACTTTCATTTTGCCCCAGGCAGTACGACATACGCCTCAGAAAATGGAATGAATTTGATAAATAATTAAGATTTTTAGGTACATACATATCGGGGGTAGGAAATAGGATGTGTACATTTTCACATAGATGACAATATCTTTAACTCCTATGACAATGGTCGGCAAACTCATTTGTCAAAAGAGCCACACAAAAATCAGCAGCAGGGTGATTAAAAAATGTTTGAGAGACAAATTTCTTTTCAAGAACCATGTTTTTCGGAGTCAAAACCGATTTGTGACTGACTGGCCGAGCCACACCCATGTCGTGAGCCACGCTTTGCCGACCACTGTCCTATGGTATTACAGTTGAGAAAAAGAGATGTTACATTCATTTTTTAAAAAATAAACATATGTTTACCAGTTAGTAAATCAATGGCGTTAACAAAACATGGGTACATTTACACAAGCATACCCATTAATATTAAAATTAATATCAAAACCCAATCATTTTACGCACGTACAAATTTAATTTTGAAAAATAGAAATGGCTAAGATTTTCTTTCAAAAAATGAAAATATATTTTTGTTTTTACTTTGCGATAGTAAAAATAGTGGGTATATGTTGTTATGAGATTAAGAACATTTCTCTAAAAAAAAAGACATTTCTCTAAAAAAAGATTGTTACGGACGCGAAAAACGGGTAAGAGATTCTTCTTTAGATAAAAGAATTCTTGGTTGTAAGATTTTCCGATCTTGGTAGTAAGATTTTCCGATGATATAGTAGAAAACAAAGTCAAAGGTGTGGTTACATTTTTAATGAAGATATCAGTTTATCAAATTACGTTAATGTAAAATGTGAATAGAGTTTTTGTTGTAAATTTAAGACAAAGTTTCCACAATTTAAAAAAAAAAAAAAAAAAAAAATTGGATTATGGCACGAAACATTTAACAATTTATGAACATATGACATCTATAGTATTTCTCTAGCTTATAAATCAGCCGTCAATGAACTCATTTAGTGACAATAATNAGTTTTTGTTGTAAAATTAAGAATAAGTTTCCAAAATTTAAAAAAAAAAAAAAAAAAAAAAAATTGGATTATGGCACGAAACATTTAACAATTTATGAACATATGACATCTATAGTATTTCTCTAGCTTATAAATCAGCCGTCAATGAACTCATTTAGTGACAATAATGATTTAATCGGTGATCATTTAGATTTAGTAATTTAAGCTCATGTTTATAGAAAAAAAAAATGTAGTTTAGGGGCGCGAAAATGGGTAGCGTAGGCGTATTAAATATATAGCAGAAAAATACTTCTTAAAACTTTTAATAATGTTAGAAACGTAAACATCATTGCATAAATACTTCTTTTTAAAATACGGAATTGTGATGAGCTTTTGCAATAGCGGGTTTAAATCATCACAAAGTGCCTGCCATTATTATCTCGATAACATCGGGTCATATATTGTAGTTTTATTATAGGAGGATAATAGTATCTTGGTTCAGAATTTCGATAATGTTATAAAGTAAAGGAATGTCAAAAGTTAATAGAATTGAGAATTTCTAAAGAAGTGGTTATTTGAAATAGCTTACTCACTGATTACAGAAGTAGGCCTACTTAATGCTAGAAAATTGTACACTCATTTGGCCTACTGACAGAGCCTAAAAATATCTACACTGCTCATTACAATTTCACTGAATAATGTACTGAAACTGAAACTAAAATTATTTTTAATTATGATTTTTACATTGAAATTGTATTAAGGTTTTGAAAAAGCCTTGATAGAACAGAGCAGTCTACTATCACTTTGGACAGAATCATGAGAATTACAACGAGAAGTGAAAAACTTACAATACTGATCTCAAATGTTAAATCTAAATCTGTGTTAGTGTTGTTGCTGGTCTCGGAAAGTTGGCGATCAACAAATTGGAAAATACGGCAAATCTTCGCGAATAGCTCCATGAACTTTAATTTTTAACTTACCATCAAGGGTTGCCACAAGATATCAAATACAACAGTGAAGGAGATGATATCACAAATCCCAGTTAAGTTAAGCACGAACATGATAATTCACACAAAAAAAAAAAAAAACAACAAAACATACAGGGTGGGGTAGGTGGGAATAGTCATAATAAAAATAAAACAGTGAAGGAGATGAAATCACAAATCCCAGTTAAGTTAAGCACGAACATGATAATTCACACAAAAAAAAAAAAAAAACAACAAAACATACAGGGTGGGGTAGGTGGGAATAGTCATAATAGCCCACCATAGGAAAATCGATGTAAAGTATAACTTAACAAATACTGAAATGGAGCCCTCGGGAACAAGAGTAAAAGAGGATGGTGAAGACCCCAAAAAACTTGGCGTAGCTGTGAGAGAGGGATTATAATATAAAGACCCTAAAGAGTAGAGTCAAAGTAGGCCTATATGAAATAGACTGTAAATGCCGCACCAAATTAAGGCCTTAAGCGCTTACTGGGGTGGACTGCCCCTACAACCTTTTTCCTGCGCCCATGTGTGGGTCCTGTGTTAACCAGGGCACCTAAGCCATGATCTAATGGGTCGTCATGCCCAACCCCAAAGGCCTTTTTTTTTTTTTACTAGAGCCTCTCAAGGCTCACGGGATTAGAGATTTTAAAAAATTTATTCGGCATGTTTTTCGGGTCGACATTTTATGTTAACTCTCACGTGACAACAGATCATGTGACAACACGAAAAGTTAAAATGGCCATTCTACGGGCATCAGATAGTGAGTGGGTTTGGCTTTTTCACTCCTATATTTTTTTATGTTGTTGATTATTTTGTGTTTCAGTTCAATCGTCTATAATTTAAGATATGAATTTAAATAATAATGTACTTAACTTGGAGAGATTAAAATTTAAGAAATAGTGTATCTTATCTCGGCACTGTACTATAGTTGTTCCAGTACTAGTACTCAGTAGTCTGTAGTCAGTAGTCAGCAGTAGAGTCAGAGCAGTAATCAGTTACAAGTTACAGTTACAGTCTACACAATAATACTCTTCTTCTACAGTTCATTAGAGTTAGACTTGATAAAGTTAATTAGTAGTCAGTAGTATGAGTAGTTTAAAATTTGGGTACCAAAAATTGTAAAATAGTATTCAGAGTTCAATTTCGATAGTCAATAGTCTAAATATTCATTCATAATGGATTATGGATAAAATTGACTGAAAAATTCACTTCATTCAGTCCTCAAGCTCTTATTTGTCTGTTAGTATTAGCTCATTACTGTTAGTACTATTACTTAACACCAGCACATCTTAAACTGGAACTCCTCAGAACGGCGGTCCCAAATTAAAAATAGAATACTATTCATATTCATTAGAAATTGTCCGGCTAATAGCCGCCGATAATTGATGACATATTTGTTTACGTCTAATTCTCTACTTATGAAGATCGCGATCTTCATCAGTCGCGATCTTCATCAGTCTTTTTGACTGAAAGATAAAGAAATTTATAGAAGAAGGAAAATAAAAAAAAATGCAAGAAAGGTACAAAAGTTATCTCTGTTGAATTGCTTTGCTTTTTTTGTTTAGAGTATTAGACGGTTTTCAGCAAGCCACACTAACCAAACCATACTCATACTCAAACAGTGCCTTCAGCATTTTGTCATAAGTTTGTAGAATGTTTCCTGACAAAATATTATCTGAAATATGGTGTTGTTTATTTTATATTATTACAAGCAATAGTAAGTCTGCAAAAAAAATTTGAAGTAAAAAATTATGTCACCAATTATCGGCGGCTATTAGGTTGGTAGCCGAACAATTTCTAACGAAAAGTATCCAATTTTTAATTTGGGATCGCCCTTCTGAGGAGTGCCCTTAAACTTAACTTGACTTAAGTTTAAGTCTTAAGACATACCAGTTAATCACCTCTTCTCCTGAATTCAGATAGGGATTTCCACCTCCAGATTTCTCAGTATTAATAAATATAATGTGCGCTTTTTGGGCAGTGCATACTCAATTTTAGACAGATGGATAACAAGAAACGCCTTTATAAATGGCAGTGTAATAAATTCAAAGTTGGACAACAGAAACTTAAATCTCACGGTTCATTTAAATTTTGTTTCATTGATATCATTCATTAAGACAAAGACAGTGTATTACGGTAGAAACTACTTGGAGTAGGAAACAATAATTACAAATCTGTTTGTGTAATGCATTGCAAGAAATGCAGTGTTACTAAGTGATCATTTTATTTCTATAATTATATAATTAAATTTATTTAATATTACTATCCATGACTACCATTAGAGACCATTAGTCATTATTCCTATTTATTACTGTAACGGACAATGTTTTCACATGAAAACAGAGAGGTAGCATGAGTGAACAATGAATGGTGTTGACCATGTTTTTGTCCACGAGGACAATGAATTGTATTTTGAGATACAAATGTGAGCTCCACGTTTTTGGAGAGTAAAATTATGTTTTTGTCAGAGCGATTGTTTTGCACGCTTTGCTGGTAATAAAGTATGAGTTGACTGAGATAGTAGAGAGCTGAGCGCAGAGCAGTAGAGTCAGTAGCGTGAGAGCTGTGTGATTATACAGTTGACAGTTTAGTGTGAGGACGTGTCTTTCTTAATGATGGAATACTATAGATATATATGTGAAATTACATTATTATCAATATAAAGTGTGTTCAATAAAGTACTGTAAGTTTAACCAGGATTCAGTATTCTTATTTGCGTGCCCGGATTATAAGTGGAAGAATGAAGAAGCCTTAGTCGGCATCCTGAAATATCAACATAACATAAGTAACCATACTACTGACATAACCTACAGCATAAGAAATAAGATCCCACGCCATGTCAGAGTAGGTGTGTTACAATTACTAATATTACTATGGCATGGCTCAATTTAACATGCTAACACTTTCAAAAAATAAAAGCAAGTGTGATCTTCTTTTTTTGAAGTTTATGTTATTTAGAGCCAAAAGAAATCAGTGAGAATTGTAGGGTATATTAAATTATATTATTTATTAATTATTATTTGACTCCGGCTGGAAATTTAACATATTTTAAAAACAAAGTGCTTAGAGTTAGAGCTTAAAAAAATATCTATCCTAATGATATTTTCCTCTTGTACTGTACGGTGAAAAAAGAGGTTAAATTTTGATGATAAACTGAACTCAGTAACTTTGACAAGACTGACGTTACGATACATCACTTCATTAATTTAAATACAGGAATCTGAAATTACTACAGCTAGCATAATTTACAGAAGAATTCTGTGTAATTACATTTAAATTGTTATAAAATCAATTAAATGAATCCATTTTTTTTTCAAATTGCTATTGAGCAGTGTAAAACGAAAATTGGGCTTAAAACAAGTTATATCATTAAAAAAATTAGATCTAGCCATTTATGAATCACGTAAACATGCTAAAATTTGTGTGCTGTAAAGGGGAGATCATTCATTTTAAAATTTCAAAATAAATAATGATAGAAAAGTTATAAATGATACTTCTTTTGAGTTTTCATATTTTCCTTTACAGTTTTTCATGCCGTTGTACAGTTTTTTGACCCCCATGGGTTTGCTTATGATTTTATATAATGCCAGGAATTAAGGAAAGAATATTTCTGACAGTGGCTAAATTCTTTCCTTAGAGAGACCTTTTAATGGCACTCTGGGGTGCGGTACTTTATTTTGTTTTGGTTTTCATTCCAGGGGGCTATCGCTTTTTGGTGCTCTTCTTCAACTGTATGTTGACATTTGGATCTTACTTTTGTTTTGATATGCCAAGTGTCCTACAAGATGTATTTACAAAGGTAACATTTTTTAAAGTGGCTGCAAGGTTTTTGTAATTGCTATATTTTTTTTAAAGCAATCATTCCCTGACATTATACAAATAAATACATAAGACTTTAAGATAGTTATTTATAGTTGATATAACATTCTTCCAAATGTATGCTTTATCTCAGACAGCTAACTTTTTTTCCAGTTTTAATATTTGCAATGCTATTGTGCGAGCAATTTAAAAAAGCTTTTAATAATAATAAAAAATGGTTATAAAAGCTGGATAAATTGATTAATTTTTCTCAATAGACAAACAACTGCACCAATGGCTCAGAAGCAGTATATAGCAATTGTTCTGATGATGGTCTCGGCATGTCAGATGCTGACTATAACTTGTTGTATGCCATTTATGCTTGGACGTAAGTGTTATTCATACCTCAAGCTATTTACGTTCTTTCCTTTTGCACATGTAACAAATTTAATTAATTTAACTTGTATCCATCAAACTACTGCAATCTGCTATTATGGTAATCCATAATAATTCCAGAGTAGATCTTGTCCACCCCACTCTCATTGTGCACCATGATACGCAGTGATTTACTTGCGTACCCCATTGTACGCACCCAATGCACTCAGAGGAACAACATTGGTTACCCACCATGGCTAAAAGAAAGGCAAATGAAGGTCAATACAACTATGCATTGGTGGATCTATGGAGCTCCGTCTGGAATTATTGAAATAGATAATGCACCTCCTCCTCCTGTATTTTCAATGTGCAATGTGGTTGCATTGCCCCAGCTAGTTTAATATATTTATTCAAATTTGACTATTCAGATTTGGTTGAAAAGTGATAGATATAATGGGGGGGGGGGGGGATTCCCCTTTTTACTTGTTTCTGGTTTTTAAATCAAAATTAATTAAATAGTAATTTTACAGTAAAGCTTTGCACAGAACAAACAATTTTTTTTGTTGGATAAAATGTTTTATTGGCATTCAAAAATCAAAGGATTAATGAATATTTATATATAAATAATAAAGTAGACTGTTATGTTAGGCTCTATTTATGTGTTTTAAATTCTTTTCCAATCCTCAAAAATGTTTTTTTATCATTGTTTTTTAAAAAATCATTGGATGGTTCCTTTTGGTGTCATTGGTATTTTCTTTTGTATCATTGGTTGGTATTTTCTTTTGTTTCATTGGTTGGTATTTTCTTTTGTATCATTGGTTGGTATTTTCTTTTGTATCATTGGTTGGTATTTTCTTTTGTATCATTGGTTGGTATTTTCTTTTGTATCATTGGTTGGTATTTTCTTTTGTTTCATTGGTTGGTATTTTCTTTTGTATCATTGGTTGGTATTTTCTTTTGTATCATTGGTTGGTATTTTCTTTTGTATCATTGGTTGGTATTTTCTTTTGTATCATTGGTTGGTATTTTCTTTTGTTTCATTGGTTGGTATTTTCTTTTGTATCATTGGTTGGTATTTTCTTTTGTATCATTGGTTGGTATTTTCTTTTGTATCATTGGTTGGTATTTTCTTTTGTATCATTGGTTGGTATTTTCTTTTGTTTCATTGGTTGGTATTTTCTTTTGTATCATTGGTTGGTATTTTCTTTTGTATCATTGGTTGGTATTTTCTTTTGTATCATTGGTTGGTATTTTCTTTTGTATCATTGGTTGTTTTGTTGTTTTTTTATCAAACTATTGCTAATTTTGTATGCCCTTGTCTCTCTCGCCCACCTTTTTGTTTTCCTCTTCCCCATTTCTTATTCCTGATCTCTTCTTAAATAGAAATCATCTATAGTTTAATGCTATCTTATTTTTAAAAATAATGTATATTAATATTTCTATTTGTATCATTTTAAAAAAATTTAAATGTTTATAGTTTTAGAGCTATCCAAACCTGTTCCTGAACTCAGTGTTTTGCTTCTGCTTTCAGAAATGCTGTTGTAGTGATTGGTGCTGGTTTCCTCATAGACAAACTTGGGAACAGAGGTAAAACTGCAAACAGCTCATTAAATTAATAAGCTGAATGGGTTAAACAGTTAGGCACACGGCTATGAGCCCCATTGTTGGGTGTGTCCAGGGCCCCTGAATGCATTAATCTGACTTGTACATACCCGTGTCTAAGACGCCCCCCCCCCCCCCCCCCCCCCCCCNCCTTACCTAAATGAACTATTTTATTTAGTGATTTACACAAAAGTCAAATACTTGAATGAACATGTGTTGCTAATTTTCAAGGGGCAACAGCTACCATTTGGCCACCCTCATTATGGATGCGTTGAAAAATAATTCGCTGCCCGCCCTGCGACTCAGTATAGAGCTCTTCACTAAGATCGTTTGCTGATCCTAGCTCCAAATAATTCATATTTCTATGAAACATTTCCAATACATAAACATTTCCAATAGATAAAATTAATTGAATTAAAATGATCTCTTCTCAGATGCCTTAAGGCTGTAAATAAATGGTATTATTAAAACAGTTAACTGAAAATTTCTATATGGTATGAAACTTATTAAAATTGATAGGATCCTGGTTCACGTTTTTTTAAATTCCTGAATGGCTCACCTAAGTAAAACTGATTGATTATTTGAAGATTGCGTGGTGTAGTTTGTTGGCCTCACTTAACTACTAACTTGTCTCTATTAAATACATTTCCAGTTGGTGTGTTCTTGTTTTCGTCTCTTTGTCTCCTGGGCTCCTCAACATTTGCAGCTGGAGCTTTCCTCAAGGGCACTTCTTATCTCCTACCCATAATGCTCTTTGGTCGATTGCTTTTTGGATCTGGAAACGGCTCACTCACTAGTGAGTAAAAATAATTTAATTTTTCACAGCTGTTATCTCTAAAGGTGAGTATTAGATGATGCTCTGCATACATAGTTTGAACTATGTTCTAGTTTTGGCTGAGATTAAATATTGATTATAATTTTTTGCTGGACTAAGTCTTTGACCATTTTTAGCGAAATAAATTTGTTATTGGAGAAAATTTTCATCTGGAAATAAATTTTCTCCAATAAAAAATTCATTTATGCTTTTTAAAGAAGGATTTCAGTTCAACCGAATTTCCTATCATTCATATTTGTTTATCAAAGCCTCTAAATTGTTCCTCAATTTTCCAAGTAAATATTTTATTTCTAATAATCCATAGAAGTTTTATTCTATTTATTTATAATTTTTAAAATGGTGACAATTTATTATTAAAAAAGTTGTGGATTAGTTATAGAAACAATCAGACTTTTTGTTTCCTTTTGACATATTTTTTTTACTAATCCTTCCCCCACCTCCCCCCCCCTCCCTTTTTTTTTTCTAGTTGTACAAAATAGAATCACTGCTTAAGTTTTTTTTTATTTATTTATAATTTTTAAAATGGTGACAATTTATTATTAAAAAAGTTTTGGATTAGTTATAGAAACAATCAGACTTTTTGTTTCCTTTTGACATATTTTTTTTACTAATCCTTCCCCCACCTCCCCCCCCCTCCCTTTTTTTTTTCTAGTTGTACAAAATAGAATCACTGCTTACTGGTTCAGAGATAAAGAGCTGGCCATGGCTTTTGGCATAACACTTGCTTTTTCAAGGCTGGGTAGTGTTCTTAATTTTTTTTTAACCCAAATGTTTGAAGAAGCCTATGGATTAAAATGGACACTTTGGGGAGGTAATGCATATTAGGAGCATCCTGCTTGAAATTTAAAAATGTACATTTAATTTTAAACAGAATTTTAAAATGTACATTTAAACAGAGTTTTTCTTAAAAACATGTTCTTTTTTTAACAGACGTTATAATCTATTTGATTTTTAACTAACATTAGTTTCATTTTGTTTAAAAATAATTGAGACCAGCACTTTTTCGGCTGGTCTATTAACCATGAGAATGAGATGCCTTTTCCATTTCTTTATTTAGGGGCTATGCTGTGCCTGCTGGGCTTTATCTCCGCTATCATTGTTACTATACTTGACAAACATGGTGTCAAAGAGCTTGGGGATGAGGGATCTCTGAAATCTGAATCTAAAAAGTTGGTATGGAAATTTTTTGTTGTTGTAAGACATGTAATCTCTTCTTTAGTACCTCTTTTTTAAAAATAAAAAATGTTAACAACTTTTTTTTTTTTTTTTTTTTATGACAGAAAATAACAGATGTTAAACACCTTTCACTTTCGTTTTGGCTGGTTGTCCTGGCCATTATGTTTTTCTACAATGGAGTTTTCCCTTTTATTTTTTTTTTTTTTTTTTTTTTTTTATGACAGAAAATAACAGATGTTAAACACCTTTCACTTTCGTTTTGGCTGGTTGTCCTGGCCATTATGTTTTTCTACAATGGAGTTTTCCCATTTGTTGCAGATGCTAGGTGAGATATTGGACTTCGGTAGATCTAAGCATGCACTCGGTTTACAAGCTAGTTGTACATTTCTCTTTAAAAAATGTTTGATTTAAAATCTTTTTTTTTTTTTATCGTATCAATTTTATAATGGAACCGCTTACACATTCTCAGCAAATTCATTCAAACCAAATATAAGTTGGACAAGAAGCCAGCCTCGTATGTGGCCGGTGCAATATATGATGTCTCCATGATTGTCTCTCCTTTCCTGGGAGGTCTTATTGTAAGTGTTGTTATAGAGGAATTTTCAGTTTATCGATTATTATAGAGGAATTTTCAGTTGATAATATAGGTATTTTGTTATATTAAGTTGCATTTAAGTTATATACAAGGTTGATAAATATCCTACAATTAATTATTTTTAAACATAAAATTATTTACACCATAATCAGCGATCGATTGTAATATGTTTCTTTTAACATTGTCAGTGTTGGTTTTTTAACAAGTGATTGAATTTCATCACGGAAAAACTAAATCTAGATTTCTCAATACAACACTGCTTCACAGCTGTCACTCTACTAGCAGAACTGACAGTTTTTAAAATCTATTTAGTTCACCAAAGTGGTTGTTTGTTTAGTTTAAGAAAAAATAAGATGTCTGATCTGGTCAGGATGTGTTTGGCAAGAGAGGGTACATAGCAATGTCTACTGCTGTCTTGACCATCCCTGTGTTTGGCTTGTTGGCATTCAGCTATGTCCATCCACTCATCTGTACATTGTGGTTAGGTGTCACTTATTCATTCGCAGCAGTAAGTTATTTATATTCTCATAAATTATTACTAAAAATGTGTTTATTTTTAAAATAAGGTCTGTTTTTGTTTTTTTTACAGGAACATTTAAAAAATTTTTTTTTTAATGTATGTGAGACAAATATATTGAGTTATTTATAAAGATCTCTGCGGTTTGTTTACATTTTCATGTAATGCTTGTTTTTTATTTTACTGTTTTTATTTTACCACATTTCTTTAAGGATTTGCTCTTTTTGTTATTTCAAGGCAAGCATGTGGCCAAGCATACCATTGGTTGTCTCGCAAACAACCCTGGGTACTGCCATGGGCCTGACCACAAGTGTCCAGATGGTTGGCATTGGAATCTCCAATGTCATTGTTGGGCAAATCCTAGGCAAAGATGACGAGTAAGTGTCCGTCTGAGAATTAAAATTCATGTTGTACTTTTTAATGTCCTGCGATCAGAGGAATCTTAATCACACTTGCGACATTCTCTTTGTGTAACCTTTCAGTACTGATGATGCTGGGAAACTCCTCCGATGGAAGTATGTTATGATCTTCCTCTTGGGAAATACCATTTGCTGTATTCTGGCTGCATTCTTCCTGAATGTTGTTGACAGGAGAAGGGTAAGGGATTTTATTTGATTTTCATTGAAGATCAAATTTTTTTTAAGGTGCCTTGCTCATTGTCTGGCTGGGCATGAATGATAGAAATATTTCTAACAGCAGTGATTTTCCAGCAATTGTCTGTTACGAGGCCAAGAAATTTTGGGTCTTTAGATTAGCAACTATATATATAATATATGACAAGATCAATACTTTTATCATATAAAACATTATGAGCAATTAAACTAATTTATTATTATTATTAAATCTCAGATTTTTCCTTCAAGACTCAATTTTTATTTTTGGGTTGCAGTGGGTTATTATTCCTCCACATGTGTTATTTTCCACTCTCAAATCTTTAAAACAATACAAATTATGTCAAGTATTATTCCTTACCAGTTAATCTGTATTTTATTGTACAATAGGGTGGAATATTAAACATAAGCAAGCATCAGAAGCTTTTGTTGGCCAGGCAGAAAGCTGAAGTAAATCAGACAGAAGAGCCGCCACCTGAATTGGAGGGTGAGGAGGACCCATTGTTGCCAGGAGGCCCTGGACGTAAATATTTACAAGATGGGAATTCACTGAATTAATCTCTGACCAGCTCTGTGGTGTATTTTTTTTAACCCTAAATTTGTAGATAGCTCTTTTAAAGAAAAGAACTGATAAACGACAGAGATAGTTTGTTTCATATTGAAGCCTTATCAGTGGGGTCATAATGAACTATTTTATACTAAGCTTATCAATGAAGACTAAATGAACTATTTTGTAAGAAGCCGATTTTTGAAGTCATAATTTTTAATGGTAAATCCTCCTTAATTCAATTTTTTCCTGAAAACAGTCACTTACAGAATGCAGCACCAACATTTGCTGTTACTTAAAACACAATAATTAAATGAAATTCTCTGAAACCATCCTCAAATGGAAACAAAATTATTTTTAATGGCCATTGAAGTAAATGCTTCACATATGTCGCAAGCAAAAGTGATGGTAACTTACACATTTATAATAATTGTAGTCTTTATAACTACTTTAAAGTAACAACCCATGCCGCAAGCATCAAGGCTGTGATTGATTGGCTGCATCTAAAGTAATTTATTAATAGGGGTATAAGACTTTGTAAATCATTTATACAAAAAAGTCTTCTAGAGATGATCGTACATGGAATTTCTTGGCTTAATATGATCAGGTTGTTTGTTGTTCTGACTTACTTTATGAAATAATAATAGCGGTTCTATCATCAGTAGAAGTGTGGACACAGTTCCTTTAAAAAAAAATTTTTATGTACATTTGAATGAAAGGAGGAATTACATGTGGTTTAGGTTTTGTAAATATTTCTTAATCTATTTGTTAATAGCTTTATCTGAAAACCAACTGAGTGTTTGGTTTGGAATTAATTTGTTGCAAATGATATAAAAATAATTTTCATTTGAAAAACTTATTTAATGTCCAGAGTCAGGTCTCAGGGAACTTTGGTTTAATTAGTTTTGATGATAACGTCACCAGGATGGTAGTGGTGCATGGTAATTTATTTATGAGACAGGTTGAAATGCATCTTGAGCTTAAAGATTACAAAGTGGGCAGCACGTCTTAGTTCTTTCAGGTGCACAACAAAACTGAAGAAACTTCTAACTGTCCTAACTCTGATAACATTGAGGTTGTTAGAAGAACTCTTAAGTGAACATTGTCCTAGACTGAATGGGGTAATTTCATAAGCAAAGAATAGGCAAATATTTCCCTAAGCTGCAATATTCTACTTAGGTGAATCATTGTTTTCATTTTAAAAATTACTTATTAACTTTTTTTATGCTTGATAATGATATTATAAATAAGGCACAAAATAGATTTTTAAAATGAAAATTTTGTCTTATATGCCTCCAATATAAATTATGATAAATTGAAGTTAGTTTAATATTTTTATGCTACTGTAAATGAAGATGCTGTTCTTTTTATGTTTTACACAAGTTGTACTGATTAACATACAAAAATGGCAACATAATGTACTTCAGTTTTTTGTTTTTTTAAATTATGAAATTGTTCTATTATGAGGGATTAATTTCACTATGCTACAAAATTTTATTTTTGTGGATTTAAATTTGGTTTTTAGTCCGCCACGGTGCCTTAGGAGTTCATTTCAAATGAAATCCTTGAACACATTTTGAAACCATACTTGTCAAACATATTTCAGCCATATCATGCATATTTGATCTTTATTTTGAGTTTTTGATTTACTTGATTTTTAACTATAATGAAAATAATCTCTTTATTACTTTAAATTTCTGTATTTTAAAAGGTTGTTAGTTTAGATTACATACAGAGAAGACTCATTAATTTACTTAATGTCACCGGATGTGTACAAAAAATTAAGAAAAAAGAGCCATTGCTGCCAAAGTATGCATGATTTTAAAGAAAATGGTATAAGAGGAGATGATTTAAGGTGAGATGATGGTTTAAGGGGCGATAATGGTTTAAGGGGAGATGAGTAATCTACATGAAAGCAGACATTCATCTTACCACTTGTAGGATGATTTGTTCATAATAGTGACAGTGATATTTTTTGTTGTTATTGATGGATAAGAAACTTCTTTTAAAAAAATATTCAAAATGTATAAAACATTTTTCAAAATTTTTTGTAAATCATAAATTTTTAAAGATATATACATGTCAGTGTTAACTTACTGGCCTGCTTTCATTTGACGGCATGACGTGACTGACACTTTAATTCGAAACAGGATTTTATTATACATATTTCTTTATTGCAGCTGCATTTTTAGCTATGAATATGTCAAGAATTTTTTTTTTTTAGCTATGAATGTCAAGAAGTTTTTTATTCTCAAAATAAAAGTACTGAAAGTGTAGAATAATGTATAGTATATATGTAAATTGCTATTTAAAAAAAAATATATTAATTCCTAATAAAAAGAAATCTATTTATTTTCCCCTATTATATGTAAGAGCTAAAAAAAAATCTTGCAGAGTTGTAAGATATATTCACACGTTGTGGGGACTTAAAGTTAATTCAACTCATGTTGCCAGGTTAGCTTTAATCAGGTGTTGGAAAATAAGCTTGCAGTAAGTTTTTTCAGGTGGTTTTGGAATGCAAGGTTTATTCAAGTGCATTTGGAATTTAAGGTTTTATTCATGTTTTGCTGGATGTAAGAGTTGTTCAGCTGTAGCTGGAAGTAGGTATTGCAAGGTTTATTTAATAAGTATAGATGACTTGTAAGATTTACAAATTCACAAAATACTTCATAGATTTTTATTTTACATTGGCTGTATGTCGTCCTAATTTTTTAGGGCATTTCCTGTTGACGATCTTTTTAGAACAATCCTTTAAAAATAATTCTGTATAACCATGCTTTTGTTATCTTCACTATACATTATATGCAAACAGAACGCAATCAGTGCTTTGTGCTCTAAGTCAAGTATTGCATTTTAAAAAATCAGTTTGTAATATTGCCCCATAACTATAAATAAAACCACACAATATATGTAACTTAACCTCCATTTACTCTTTATAATTCATCCAAAGTTTACATTCCAAGTCTTTTGTGGATTCTGGGATTAATGCACATTAAACCATGGGAAAGCTTTTTTGTTTTCCTCCGACTTTACTGCATCAGTAAGAATATTTTCTTTATTTCATAGTTCCATTTCAGATTGGCTTTCACATAATCACTTTTATAGATTTATTCTTCATTATTCCTTTTCCCCCCAGTGTATTCTGGCATTTTTTTTCTAGTTATATATATATATTTTTTTTTTAGTTGGTTCTTGAAGAGAAGCAATTTCTTGTTTGAAATTTTTAAATGCAAGTTTTGATATTAAACCTATCTATAAAGCTTTCAAGGAATGTATTTATGAAAGTGATCTTGACTGATTTTGTTCTCAATTGAACTGAAACTGTAAATGCACAAAGGAATACCAAACATAGACAATTAACATTTTTAAAGCCACTTGGGTTTTTTTTTTTATATGGTTGGTTGATACAGTAACCCAGTGAAATAAATTTGCTCTTGTCATTTGTGGTAGTTTATTTTAGTTAAACTGAAGAAGTAAGTTTACAAACATATAGTCCATTCAATTATCTTTCATTTGGTACCTCATTTTGTCTTACAAACCCAACAATAATATTTTTAATTGTTTTTTAATCCCAACCTCTCACTTCTGGTACCCGGGTACAAATAGTCGCAGCCATCAGATTTTTGTCCATTTAAGAAAAGCTCCATGTAAAAAAAATTATAATTTATTTTGTGAATTGTATCTTTCAAAACTAGACTAGAGTGTTGCAATTTAAAAAAAAAAAAGAAAAGAGACATACATTTAATTCATCACAATACTTTATTACCGATTTCAGTGTGAGCCTAAAATAATAAATTGGCATATTATGTGAATAAATACATTTTCACACAAAAAATGCAGCCTGAAATACTTATAGATCAATTATATGTTAAAATGTAAATAAAACCCTTCTGCTTCACAGAATGACATTATGATAAACTCTTGTTGTTTTAGTGTTTGCCCAGATGTTATATATAAATCCAACTGTGTTAAGTGCCATCTCACTCAATTTATTGTGGTGTGACCTCTAATTCAGCGGAGAAGACACTAAGCCTGTATAGTTCGCTTACAAGTTTAAATTTCAAAAAATTAATATCAGAAATGATTGAAATACGAATTATTAATTTAAAATAGACTGCTACACACATTCGGCAGACATTTAAATTTATGTCTCTGCTCCTTGATAAACTAGAAAACATGCTTCAAAAAGTTTAGCCACAATTGATTGGATTATAACAAAATTTAGAAGTTATTTCCCCTCAGTTATTGGACACACACACAGGGGACAAGGGCTTTAACTTAATTTTTTTTTTTTTCTTTTTCAAATGGACAAATGTTAAATTATAAAATTGATCAAAAAAAAAAATCTGGGACTAAGGAGTAGCTGTCTGCTCAAATTTTCCATGTTTGCAAACACACACACAGGGGACAAGGGATTTAACTTAATTTTTTTTTTTTCTTTTTCAAATGGACAAATGTTAAATTATAAAATTGATCAAAAAAAAAAATCTGGGACTAAGGAGTAGCTGTCTGCTCAAATTTTCCATGTTTGCACCACATCATAATAATTTGAGATGCATAATAGTGCTACAAAGGTACATACAAATATAATAATCCCTAGTGAAAACTGACAACATACACATGACTTGTAAATAAGTGTGAAGAGATTTATAGATGACAAAAACTCACAGGTTGGCATGCATGCATGGTGAAAAAATATAGGCAAATATTTATTCATATTAAGGACATTTTCTCTAACCCTCTCATTAATTAAATACGGTTTTGTTTATTAAAAAAAAACAAAACTGCAGTACCTCGAGGAGTTAAAAATTATTTCAAATTATTTTTGTTCCTTGTCAATTCTATGTTGTAGAAGTGGGACCTTTATATCTGCTTTATTGATGTTGTTCAAAAAGGTGACTGTGTCTTGTGTTTGTTGGAGCATTTTTTTTTTTAAGTTTAAAAACAATCATAACACTCGCTCCCACTCTGAACCCACCATTGTCTTGCTATGATTCCAGCACAATAAATTCATTGCTTTTCTTGAAGAACCGCCACAGTTTATATTTCTATACACAGTTTAAAGTTATATTTCTTAATCTTTTGATCTTCTGCAAATTTTTTTTTTTTTTACGCTCTCCCTCATTATATACATACAAAGTTTTTTTTTCTTCTGTTTTATAAATATAAACTACCAGGAAAAAAAAATCTGACTGTAAAATGGAATTACAAAATGAATCAAATCACAAGCAGTGTGACAGCAAAATCAATTTTAAAAGAAATTTTTTTTTTTCGTTTGAAATTCTAAAATCTGAGAAATACTTTAGATTTAAAGTAAGGAAAACAATTAAAAAAAACAAAAAAAAACCCCACCTCAATTAGGAGTTAAATACAACCAAAAAAAAAAAATGTATGGAACAAATCTTTTCAATACTTTTCATTTGTTATAAGAGGTCACCAGAGGGAGATGGTCACCAGAGAGAGATGGTGAACTGCAAGTTTCAATTTCCAATAACTAATGTAAGTGGTTCTTCGACCTTGAACTGATTTTAATTGTCCATGCCAATATAATCCAGCATAAACCCCTACAACACTGTGCCGTATTATATGTTAACTAATCTTATCAAGAAATAATAATTTAAGAAAAAAATAAAAATAAATGATGTTCATACTTTTGAATCACTGCTTCCCATCAACAGGATTGGGAAGGGGGTGGGTGGGGGAGCACTAACCGGGATTCTCATTAAGTGTTACTTCACTGCATGTTTTATCACATAACTTTAGTAGATGGGAAGTTCACCATTGTTTGGCGGGCTATAGTTAGTCTTGTATAATTTTGGAATACTAGTTTTTTTTTTGTGGTAAGTCTGAACGAAAACAGCAGTTGTATGACAAAGTGCCTCCTTGTTCTAAATGATGATGTTTCAGTTCTGAGGATATTGTAAGAAAAGCTGCTGAGCCACTTGAGAATTGCTGGCACTGCTGACAAGGAGAGGCATATCTGTACTAAATGGTACAGTGTCAGTAGTAGTAATATGGCAGCTCTCACATGTCTGTGACTAAGATGTGGCGCTGGGTAGCAGAGCGGTCTAAACAGAGTCAATCACAAGCTTGTTCAATCCCCGAAAAAAGCCTAGACAAGCAAAAACAAGATAAGAGCCCCGGGTGGATGGGACTCATTAACCTTGGATGGCTTAATTGACTCGTTAATGTTTAATCAAACCCAGAAATGGACTCCCATAGACGGTATGACTCAATGTAAACTCCTGCACAAAAAGAGCACAGCGCTGGTCTATTTCCAGTCGTCTTGACTAAGTCTTGCCATGGGATTAAATAGGCAAGGAACTGACGAACTGAGCAACTCTCCCTCACTTTATAAAAAAATACAGCTCAAGTCAAGGCTACTACTTAAGTTAAAGCCTTGGTCATCTTCGCAAGCAAAGGACAAACTATATATATCTGGTGTGTAGTACATACTTTGCATAACATGACAAGTTATGAAACAAACTTTAAAAAAATAATGTTTATAAGACAAAATCCTGCACATAGTGCTCTAAAAATATACCAAACACAAAATAAATTCCATTAAATGAATGTGTAATTGTTACTATATATTCTTGAAATTGTTGTTAATTACAAATTACATACATTTTTATTGCAAGTAAGATAATGAAGCAATTTTTAAAATGTTTAAATTCAATATTTAATCCACAAGTTTTCATGCTGAAACTGTTTAATCTCACCAGTAGAACACAATGTTATATCAAGCACATTGAATATAAATAATACATAATCTTTACAGCAAAGCACAATATAATAAATTATGAATTGGTAGTTCATAAATAGCATTGACATCTCTGCATTCTTCAATGGCAATGAAAGACATCAACTGTGAACCAATTATTGAACAACCCACAAGAGGCAAGGGACACTACTGCAAGGGAGACTCGGTCGATAAAAAAGAAAAGGGCAAAGAACATGTAAGACAACATCTAAATGCAGTAACAATTTCATTATCCTCTTATCAAGGCCTTGGTTTGTTTTGGATTTTATTTGATAATTGAAGCAGTGTGTGGTTGGCCCATTATTTTGTTATCAAAGTTTCCCACTGTGAAATCAGCCAGAGCCTATGGGATGGGTACGTCAAATAAAATCCAGTGGAAAAATGTCCAATTGGCCTTTACAGCTTTAGAGTAGAAAATATTCAAGTGTTTGATAACAACTGGCACACGTTTTGTCTCCTCATGTCACATGTTATGTTGAGTCCAAGTGTTTGACGACAACTGGCACACGTTTTGTCTTCTCAGGTCACATGTTATGTTGAGTCTAACCCTTTCTAACTTTCACAGCCTAAACAAACATTTAAATGTTTATTTACAGCAAATCTCATTTAGTGACAACATTGATAATAAGTAGATTTTGATACATTTAACTCCATTTGGAATTATTGAAATTGTGCTCAACTCATACTCTTCTAAATGATCAGAATCAAATCATAAGAAAATTGATTTTTTTTTGGTTCTTGGCCAATTTAAAAAGTAACAAACAACAAAATTCTTGTCTGTTTTCTTCTCTTTCTTTCTTTCTTTTTTTTTCTTTCCTTTTTTTTAAAATTTACTATCTTCTTGAAACTATTCATTTGTAAATGTCCAGCTTTTGGTGAAGTTACAAAAAACAGTTATGAAACAAAACTTTGACACTGCTTGAACTAGAAAACTAAATATTATTATTAAAAAATATAATCTTTGGCGCTTGAATTTTGAATAAATAATTTTAAAACAGAGAACGTCTATCACAATGAAAAATGCAAATTTTATTTGATTACCAAAGATATTTTTGTGCCATAATTCCCAAAGGGAAATACAAATAACTATTACTTATGGTATGGAAAATTGTTGGTTAGAATCACTGCATTACAAAAACTCTCACACGCAGCTGAAAAATCATATTGAATCATATTTATGTTTAAAACGATTAGTCAAAACAACATTAAAACATTGAAATGGTTTTACAAAAAAAAGGCCGTTTATAAAAACTTATAATTTATAAAATTTATACCATCATGCACTAAGGACAAAAAAACGTTAATGGAATAACACCAGAAAAAAATACATAATTATGCACACACACTTAATCAAACTCAACGACCTCCAGAGTCTTTGGACCTGGGTTTTGGAGAAATAAAGTAATCTAGAAATATACATATATGTATATATATTACTGCAACATTTCATACAAGTAGCTGGAGAATGGATTGTTCATATGATTCAAGAGTTCAGACTTAAAGCCGATGTTCATTAGTTAAATTGGATTAATAAAGTCTATGAAAAGACCAACACGAGAACGCATAATCTCAGCTCTTTAGTAAAAAACTTATGATATCAAAACACCCTGGATGCCAAAAACATCTTCACCCCCCATGTCGCAATGCGCAATACAGAGTTTCCCAAACTTTTCTGCATTGCGCTCCCCCTACAAATTATTTAACTACTATGTATTGTGTTACTAAGTCTCGCACCCCATATGAATTGTTTTACTAAGTCTTGCACCCCATATGAATTGTTTTACTAAGTCTTGCATCCCATATGAATTGTTTTACTAAGTCTTGCACCACATATGAATTGTTTTACTAAGTGAATTGTTCCACTAAGTCTTGCACTCTCTACAAAAGTAAAAATGCATTTTTAAATTTGAAACTAATGTTCTCCTTATTTATTTATTGAAATGCAAAGGGAACCGTTGAACTTGGAGAATAAACTTGTGACTTATCACATAAAGGAAACGGTTAATAAAGAAATGTTTACAAAATATAATCATTAACGTCATAATTTAACATCTAATGTCTCCTCGGCTTACCATAAGAACAGAGGAGACATTACTGTTGGGATTTCAGGGGGTGTGGGGAGAAAAAGGGATTATTATAAGAACTCTTTTCCCCCATACCCCGTGAAATTCCACCTCGCAACCATTGATGGGGTGCTCGAGGTTGGGAAACCCTGGCGTAATAAGAAAAAAAACCAAAACAACGGAAATGGATAGCACACAAAACAGTGAAACTGGAGCTTCGTAGAGATGTTCACCTCTGTCTCATTCACTTCATCTCCACACATCATTAATGTTCCATCAAATCTCAATATTTGAAAACCTAATAATGATATCAACCCTTCATGTCTTATATAAATATTGTTAAATATTGTTAATAGCATAGACCAGCGACAAACAAACAAGTGATAAGCTATTTCAACCTCTTCAAGTTAAATATTACAATAATATATTTGTGTAAAAAGTCACTTGAACTTTTCAACCATTAATTGCTCAAGCTGATATTATAATGCCCTTTAAAGAAATTCATTATATTACAATGGCTCAAAGGGTGAGATTCTTTAAGAATCATTTAGATTTTTTTTCATTCACATAGAAAGTTACGCAAAATGTTGGCTACAATTTCTTTTCCCAAGTGTTAGTTTTGTTTAAAGGGCATAAATGATTGTTGATTCATTTGAAGCAGGGCAACTCGAGAGTGTCCCTTCAGTAGAGCAGAATTCTTCTCTCATCACACTTTCTGCTAAAGGGGCATTCGCTGGGCCTGCCCCGCCCCCCCCCCCCCCCCCCCCCCCCCCCCCGCCCCTCCCCCCCCCCCCCCCCACATAGCTGGCAGGCCCCCGTGACCACAGCGGAACTGTTCCTTCAATACAGCAGAATTCTTTTCTCCACAGACTTTCTGCAAATGGGGCATTCGTTAAGCCGGTCCCCACACAGCTGGCAGGCCCCGTGGCCACAGAGGAAGATCATATTCTTCAGCCTGTCCATGCACACAGGGCAACATGTCTGGTAGAAATAGTACAATAAATTATGTTTAATTAATTTTTTTAAAAATACATACTCAAAATAATTATTAAAAAATCAGTATTTTAAGAAGCTTTTTGTCTTTATTACTACACAGATTAACAGCAGATCTGAATCAGCAGTCAGTGGATCCCCCAATGGTACATAAAACAATTAGAGACGGATTGCTTTCATTTTCTAAAGAAAAATGTCACATTTCTAATAGACAAAGAGTTTTGAGACACTTTTCAGTGAGGCCAAAGGGTACATTGATTGAAGTGGTTTAAGAACAACTGACCTAGAAAATGCTGAAATTACATAGCTTTGTCAAAGAAATAAACAGAAATGTATCAGGACCTCAGAGTTTTCATTACGCAAACAAAGTCTGTGCACAGGGCAGTAAGGCACTCTTTGAAGCCAAAAGATCTGATTAAATACGGTTAATTTTTATTAATTATTAAAAATATATTCAGGGCAGACTTTCTTTTAAAGGCATTTTTAGAATTTTTTTTATCATTATTGGCTGTGGAAGAAGAATTGGGATGGGACTTTGGGGGGGGGGGGTGTACATGGTGGACAACTGCTTCAACTAACTTTGAAGTTCAGCACAGAGTAAGAGCAGGCTGACAAGGGACAAGTGGGTCACTTTTGGACAACAAAAATTACACTTATTATAGGGACAAGAAACCTGACGGATTTGGGAGTAGAAAGAAAGTCTTTAAAAAAAAAATACAGGAGACTGAAGCTGGCCAGATTTTCTGTTCCAAAGTACCATGTGGGGATCATTGTGCATCATGGTGCTCTGCAGCTACACAGGAGGTCTAAGACTTAACCATAAGGTAACACTCTGCAGCTACACAGGAGGTCTAAGACTTAACCATAAGTTAACACTCTGTAGATACAAAGCAGGTCTATGACTTAACCATAAGGTAACACTCTGCAGCTACACAGGAGGTCTAAGACTTAACCATAAGGTAACACTCTGTAGATACAAAGAAGGTCTATGACTTAACCATAAGGTAACACTCTGTAGATACACAGAAGGTCTAAGACTTAACCATAAGGTAACACTCTGTAGATACAAAGAAGGTCTATGACTTAACCATAAGGTAACACTCTGTAGATACACAGAAGGTCTATGACTTAACCATAAGGTAAAACTCTGCAGCTACACAGGAGGTCTAAGACTTAACCATAAGGTAACACTCTGTAGATACACAGAAGGTCTATGACTTAACCATAAGGTAACACTCTGTAGATACAAAGCAGGTCTAAGACTTAACCATAAGGTAACACTCTGTAGATACAAAGCAGGTCTATGACTTAACCATAAGGTAACACTCTGCAGCTACACAGGAGGTCTAAGACTTAACCATAAGGTAACACTCTGTAGATACACAGAAGGTCTATGACTTAACCATAAGGTAACACTCTGTAGATACACAGAAGGTCTATGACTTAACCATAAGGTAACACTCTGTAGATACAAAGCAGGTCTATGACTTAACCATAAGGAGATGCATTAACACCTAGCAATGCAGCATTGAGACACTGACCTGGTCCTTGATGTCCTGCAGCTGTTGCTGCAGCTTCTGTATGTCTCGACTCACATCCCTGGAGCCATTGTTCATGATGCCGGGTTTCTGTGGCTCAGGCGGAGCTGGAATTTGAACAATTAAAGATTGTAAATAAGCAGTCTATACTTGAAGGAGTTTATTTGTGTGATATAAGAAGAAAACAACCTAAGAGCACTCAGCTCACTGTATCTGGTAGGTAGATAATAGAATCATGTCATGTCATTAGATACCAAAAGGTCCTGACCTCAATAGTCATGCAATAACTGGCAAGTCCACAGTTGCTATGAAAACTGGGGTTTTATCATTGGTTTGTCTCAACATACTCTTAGACATAAAACAAAAACAACTCATATTGAGATTACGGTTAAATTAGGTCTCTGATTGACGTGCAATGTGAAATGATTGCTAAACACAAAATAAATACATGATGATCTTTGATTAGGGCTAAAAATTAATCTGACATCATTTTTATTGAAACGATTCATTTAGCTCTTCCTTTTCCAAAGAGAATCAGTTAACTACATGAATCTGACAGTTGAAATCCACATGACTATGACAGGTGAAATCTTCATGAATATTATTTATGGTTGAATTACAAGAAATATTTAATATAACTAAATATGCAAGAATTTCTGTAACTTTAAAGACTTACGTGTGCCACCGCAGCAGACAATGAATAGAATTGTCTTCTCTATGGAGGCACGGCACTGGACGCACTTCTTCATGAGATTAGCACAGCCTGGTGAACACAAGAAACGTACAATAAATTGCATTGTCAAGTTACCTTAACAGAAAAAAAAAAAAACAACTCGTGCCAAGAACTGTTAAAACAGCTCATTCAGCTACAATTGTTCAGAACCATGTCTGAGAAATTTTAAGCTTCTTATAGTTATTTTTTTGCTTCTCAGAATTGCTCAGCAATGAAAAGATGTGTCTTCTAAAAGTAGCCTTACAATAAAAGATGTCTTCTAAGAGTTACTTTGCAATAAAAGATATGTCTTCTAAGAGTAGCTTTGCAATAAAAAGATATGTCATCTAAGAGTTACTTTGCAACAAAAGATATGTCTTCTAAGAGTTACTTTGCAATAAAAGATATGTCATTAAAGAGTTACTTTGCAATAAAAGATATGTCTTCTAAGAGTTACTTTGCAATAAAAAGATATGCCATCTAAGAGTTACTTTGCAATAAAAGATGTCTTCTAAGAGTTACTTTGCAATAAAAGATATGTCTTCTAAGAGTTACTTTGCAATAAAAGATATGTCTTCTAAGAGTAGCTTTTCAATAAAAGATATGTCTTCTAAGAGTTACTTTGCAATAAAAGATATGTCTTCTAAGAGTTACTTTGCAATAGAAAGATATGTCTTCTAAGAGTAGCTTTTCAATAAAAAGATATGTCTTCTAAGAGTAGCTTTTCAATAAAAAGATATGTCTTCTAAGAGTAGCTTTTCAATAAAAAGATATGTCTTCTAAGAGTAGCTTTTCAATAAAAAGATATGTCTTCTAAGAGTAGCTTTTCAATAAAAAGATATGTCTTCTAAGAGTAGCTTTTCAATAAAAAGATATGTCTTCTAAGAATTAATAAACAACCAAAGATGTTGCTCCAAAAAAAGTTTCTGGGTTTAAGTGATTTAAAACTCTTTTCTTTCCTGGAGCTCTCCAATGAGAAGATACAATTTGTATGACTTTTCTTCAAACATCCTGTGACTTAGCAGTATGACTTATGTTAACATATGGCAAGAACTGATGTGAACAGATGAGGTTTACCATCACAGGCACACATGTGGCCACATGGCTTGAAGAGAACAGAAGCTTTCTTGTCTGAGCACACAACACATTCCTCAATCTGGTGGTTAGGAGGAGACAAAAATCACCATTGTTACAACAATAAACTCAATCTTGGCGGGGGGGGGGGGAGGGGCACACTTAAAATAGCTGTGAATAAACAAATCTAATATGTTCAAGATCCCGGGTGGCTAAACAAGAACTCAAAGTTTGAATGAAATTTGAAGCATTTTTAAGAAGGGGGTACAATAATGGTGGAATCTTTACACTGTAATACAGATAAGTCCCGATATTTTACTGGGGAAAAAAAACAAACATACTATGATAGGTTTCAATCATTTATCATCTGTGTAGGTACTAGGTTATCATCAGTGGATGTACTATTAGTATTATTATTATTATTATTATTATGTGGTTTTATATTGCGTGGTACCGCAGCCTAGGGCTGGGCTCACCACGCTATACATACAATTTATCAAACATAATCAAAAAAACTTTAAAAATTAATTGACATACATTAATTAAATAAAACAAAACAAATGTACCCGGTATATTTAAAACTGTTTACATCTCAAGCCATGGACGAAACTCAGTACCTTGGTTTTTCGGTCAGAGGTGGGAAGCAGTCAGGATGGTAGAGATTATAAAGATAGGTTATCATCACTAGATGCACTAGATTATCATCACCAGATGTACTAGGTTATCATCACCAGAGCTTATCATCACTAGATGTACTAGTTTATCATCACCAGATGTACTAGGTTATCACCACTAGATAGGCCTGGTCAGCTAAGTAAACAATTAACAGGTTGGGTGTGAAATCAATTTCCCTCAAAGATCATTGGAGGCACACAGCTTTCTTTGCCTCTGCTGCTGGTAGTTTCATGTTGTTAAATGTTACCATGAAGAGTCCACCATAGTATAAACTTGCCATGTAGGCCTAACAGCACAATCCCAACTAGATGCTGGATTAGGGTGACGATGATGATCATCACTGAAGGTTTATCAAATTTTTTTCAAAATACGGACACATTCCCTGGGCTGAAAAGTTTCCAGGACAAGTTCAAAATATACCGGTGTATTTTAAAATAATACAAATTTCACCTCCTTTCAAACGTTTCTTTCCTGGCAGTCCTAACTTATTTAGTAACACTGCAGTCATACCACTGCAGTCATTTAGGAAAGTGAGAGGTCTTACGTTATGATGGCCTAGTACTTCTGACTTCAGCAAGTCATAGTGGCCCAGGTCAGCATCAAACCTAATTTCACAAGGGTGTGGGGGATATTTTGACTCAGCGTTTCCTCCCACAAAGAATAGTTGCCTTACTGGGCTGACAATAATATAATATTCCACCACACTAGTTGCCCATAGATCGGGATGACCCCAGATGGGTCTGAACTCACTAAATCTTGTTTATGAAGCAGACAACGCTAGCATCACATCACTACCTCACAGTTAGCACAACAAAAACACTAGTCTGTGCTCTTGCGCTCTCTCGTCCTGACTATTATAACTCTCTTCTGTCAGGTTCACCACAACATTTCATAGAAAAACTGCAGAAAGTTCAAAACTCAGCTGCTAAATTAGTTCTAAAGGCAAAGAAACTTGTTCACCGCACGTTACTCCACTACTTCACTCAATTCATGGGCTCCCTATACAGTCACGCATTGATTACAAGCTGTCTGTACTCTGTCACAACTTTTTCTCTGGTTCCTGTCCTTCCTATCTTACTGAACTTCTTACTGTCTATTCACCCCTTTGAAAGATTCATTCCTCCGCAGAGAAGCGTATTCTTGCTGTTCCCAGAACACGCACTAAAATATATGGTGAACGATCTTTCTCTTTCTGTGTCCCGAAACAATGGAATTCTCTCCCATTACACATCCACAATATAACGACCATCACAGCCTTCAAAACTGCCCTCAAGACCCATCTCTTCAAATTGTACTATACTGACTCATTCTCACCCCCATCTGACTGATATACAAGCTCAATTCTGCTGGGCGCTGTCCATGGCTAGACAGGGGTAGATAGTACTTGGGTGGGTGACCTCATGCTTTTCACCAATTGTTGTTTTTAAATGTATTTGTTTCTGTAATTGCTAATTTTTATATGAAGCGCAGTGAGCCGAGCCCTAGGCTGGGGTACTGCACTTTATAAAACCACATGATAATAATAATAATAATAATACAAGCATGTGATTCAGAATTGAGTTCCATCATAGACTGCAGTTACTAAATTAGCTTCAAATTCAAACAATTTAACCCCATAGAATAAATGGTCTTCTTAATGACAGGAATGAAATAAAAACATGCCGGTATTTTAATACAAACCTTTGTTCTGGACTGCACAGGGTCCTTGCACATGAGACACTTCTTGACCCTTGGGGAACATAGGGAGCAGGTGCAGATGTGTCCGCACGGTCCAAACAAGGTGTCCCGTTTCTGGTCGGAGCATACCATGCACTCCTCCAGGCTCTCCTGGTCGTTGCGAATGATGGCGGCATTGGGGGCAGTAAGGGCGGGGCTGTGATAGACATGGACATTAATTAGAATTTCGAAGATGCACCACTATTTTAAACTTTATGATGATTGGCTCTTTTAAAAAACTGCATGCTGATTTGTTCTTTTAAAAGCAAATGAAGACACTAGTGCTGAAAGCAACTTAACCGTGGTTGCCATTGAACTGTTGAGTTGAACATACTGAATGTATACAAACAAAATGAAGATACAGCCAAGTTCCTTTTCTAAGAAGCGAGACACACAAAAATTACCTTATTTGATAGTTTGAATTGGATCATTTGTGATTTAAATGCTTTTAGCACAAGGGCATTTTATTTAAGCTGTAATTAAGTGAAAATTGTAACCAGAGGAAAAGTAAAGTGTAAAATATCCCTTCTTTAGAACTTTACATGAAGGCCACCCACCAATCTACCTATTGCGCTCCTTGTGACATTTGGCCAGGGCCTTACTTTGTAAGGACACAAACTTTACAAGAAGGCCACCCACCAATCTACCTATTTTGCTCCTTGTGACATTTGGCCAGGGCCTTATTATGTAAGGACACAAACTTTACAAGAAGGCCACCCACCAATCTACCTATTTTGCTCCTTGTGACATTTGGCCAGGGCCTTATTATGTAAGGACACAAACTTTACAAGAAGGCCACCCACCAATCTACCTATTGCGCTCCTTGTGACATTTAGCCAGGGCCTTACTATGTAAGGACACAAACTTTACAAGAAGGCCACCCACCAATCTACCTATTGCGCTCCTTGTGACATTTAGCCAGGGCCTTACTTTGTAAGGACACAAATTTTACAAGAAGGCCACCCACCAACCTACCTATTTTGCTCCTTGTTGTGATATTTAGCCAGGGCCTTACTATGTAAGGACACAAACTTTACAAGAAGGCAACCCACCAACCTACCTATTGCGCTCCTTGTGACATTTGGCCAGGGCCTTACAAAGATTCGGGTCAGGGCACAGATCCAGGGGAGTCTGACCTTTCTTGTTCTTCAGATTAAGGTCAGCCCCATTGGCCGCCAGGAAACAGGCGATGGAGGCGCTGGACTTTTTGTCAGCTCCAGGTGTGCCCAGTCCCATCAGCAGCTGCAGTTAAAGGGAGAAGATGGCTTATCTTGATAGATTTGGGCTTACATCAATGACATTGGGAGGTTGTTGTGAACCATAAGTAATGTTGGGGTGAAAATTGGGAGTTACAGACTGGAAATAGGATAAGATGGTGAGTTGTATCATAGCTTTATAATAGGTTGAAAAGGATTTTGCTGTCAATGGGAAGTTTTGAGGTAAAGAGGTGACTATTACAATATGTTGGTTTTATGATGACGTTTTTAATATCCTAGCTTGACACTGAGATGAGAAGGTGATTGGTAATCACAGCTGCACCAACCTTGCCAACATCTTGCATGTCTTGTAACTGTCTCAGCTGTGACAGTGTGTGGTGTCTTAGAGCTTCATGCAGAGGTGTGTCTCCATCCTTGTCTGGGATGTTCAGGTTGCAACCCTCTCTCACCAGGAGCTGTCAGATGAGGAAACATGTCGAATGATGTTATTTGGAGGTCTGACTTATTTAAGGACTAAAATAAATATTTGTACAAAATATTTTTTGCATCAGTCTATATCAGGATCCCACGCTAGTAGCAGAAATAAATAAACGGAAGTCAAGGCTGGACGGGACAATTAGAAAGAATGCCAAATGACAGAGGAGTGAAGAGGGTACATCACCAAAAACCCAGATGAAAAAGGCTCAACGGCAGACCAAGGCTTTAGATAGATGGATGATGTGGAGAAGAATCTACAGTAGCTGGGAATCTAAGCAGGGAAAAGAAAAACGTCAGTAAGGTCTGAGTGGAAGGAAGTGGTGACCTAGGCCAAGGCCCTACATGGGATTTAGCTCCACATGGATGGATGGATGGATTTTTTGCCTCCATGGTTAACACAGGTGGGTCTGGCTGAGAGGAAGGAGGAAGGTGGCATCAGAATCTTAATTTTAAATATTTCTCGTGAGTAGAGTGACGCAGATTGGAGAGATAATGGTACACCTACAATCAGGAGAGATCATTGTACACCTATAATCAGGAAAGATCATTGTACACCTACAATCAGGAGAGATCATTGTACACCTACAATCAGGAGAGATCATTGTACACCTACAATCAGGAGAGATCATTGTACACCTACAATCAGGAGAGATCATTGTACACCTACAATCAGGAGAGATCATTGTACACCTACAATCAGGAGAGATCATGGTACACCTACAATCAGGAGAGATCATTGTACACCTACAATCAGGAGAGATCGTTGTACACCTACAATCATGTTCAAATATATTCACCAGGACTTTTGGTCTCAAGATCAACAAGGGGATCTCAAACTGTCTACAGCAGCCCTCTCAAAGTGATTTGTTTGAGATTTTAAATAAGGTAAGGTGTGCTGTGGCATCTGGGCCACTGTAATATCCTGGGAGATTACTCTTATTAGGGATCCATACATTACAAGATGGTGCCACCCCATTTAGAAGATTTCTAAACACTAAATGATGGTGTCATGATTGGGAGAAATATATACCTTACAGTAACTTACAGGATGGTGCCATTATTGAAGACAATGTCTATAACTGGATGCCTAAAGAGTCAGCCATAGGACCCCCACTGGCCCCTATCAGCCACACTACTACTAGCATGGATACAATCAGCCCATGTTAGTTCAGATTCCAGTTTATGGCCAGCTATAAAGGTTAAACTCAGCTTCATTTCTAAATGGAAACGGTCCCATAAATGTATCAACGGTGATGCTAATGAGGCTTATCCAGTCCCATAAATGTATCAAGGGTGATGCTAATGAGGCTTATCCAGTCCCATAAATGTATCAAGGGTGATGCTAATGAGGCGTATCCGATCCCATAAATGTATCAACGGTGATGCTAATGAAACTCATCCAGTCCCATGAATGTATCAAGGGTGATGCTAATGAGGCTTATCCGATCCCATAAATGTATCAAGGGTGATGCTAATGAGGCTTATCCTGTCCTATAAAAGTTTCAACGGTGATGCAAATGAGCCTTATCCGGATAAAAGTAGCATTGACCCATGCTCACTCGGACTATCTGTGTGTGTTGTCTCTCTACAGCCAGGTGCAGAGGTGTCTGCAGGTTGACATTCTGGATGTCCATGTTGGCCTTCCCCTGCAAGGATAAGAAAACAAGACTTTAAACTCATTCCCACCCTCCCAGCATTGACAGGTACATATGTTATGGCAGAGACAGCAGCAGCCACAAAACTCATTCCCACACTCCCAGCATTGACAGGTACATATGTTATGGCAGAGACAGCAGCAGCCACAAAACTCATTCCCACCCTCCCAGCATTGACAGGTACATATGTTATGACAGAGACAGCAGCAGCCACAAAACTCATTCCCACACTCCCAGCATTGACAGGTACATATGTTATGGCAGAGACAGCAGCAGCCACAAAGACAGTTCATTCTGCAGTGAGGGAGACTGAGGTCAATCATCTGTCTTTTCAATGAGTTACTTTTGGAACAGCTGTTCAAATGTAGATTTGGGTTTTTAAATGTGAGTACATTAGAATTGAGAGGTGTTTCAAATCTATTAAAGCAGTGGTTGGGTATTGTTCATCATTGTGCAGAAATCTCAATTTCACTCACATGGGACTACACAAGGAAATAATGAGAGCAGTTCTAATATCGCACATGTCACTACCTGCTTGTGCTATGTCTCATATATCTCAGCCATGTTGTGTTATCTATGTCTTTTATGTCTCAGCCATCTTGTGCTATCTATGTCTTTTATGTCTCAGCCATCTTGTGCTATCTATGTCTCATATCGCCTCAGCCATGTTGTGCTATCTATGTCTCATGTGTCTCAGCCATCTTGTGCTATCTAAGTCTTTTATGTCTCAGCCATCTTGTGCTATCTATGTCTCATATGCCTCAGCCATGTTGTGCTATCTATGTCTCATGTGTCTCAGCCATCTTGTGCTATCTAAGTCTTTTATGTCTCAGCCATCTTGTGCTATCTATGTCTCATATGTCTCAGCCATGTTGTGCTATCTATGGCTTTTATGTCTCAGCCATCTTGTGCTATCTATGTCTTTTATATCTCAGCCATGTTGAGCTATCTATGTCTCATATGTCTCAGCCATGTTGTGCTGTCTATGTCTCATGTGTCTCAGCCATCTTGTGCTATCTATGTCTTTTATGTCTAAGCCATCTTGTGCTATCTATGTCTCATATGTCTCAGCCATGGTGTGCTATCTATGTCTCATGTGTCTCACCCATGTTGTGCTATCTATGTCTCTTATGTCTCAGCCATCTTGTGCTATCTATGTCTCATGTGTCTCAGCCATGTTCTGATATATATGTCTCATGTGTCTCAGCCATGTTGTGCTATCTATGTCTCATGTGTCTCAGCCAGTTTGTGCTATCTATTTCTCATGTGTCTCAGCCATCTTGTGCTATCTATGTCTTTTATGTCTCAGCCATGTTGTGCTATCCATGTCTATGTGTCTCAGACATGTTGTGCTATCTATATCTTTTATGTCTCAGGCATCTTGTGCTATCTATGTCTCTTATGTCTTAGCCATGTTGCGCTATCTCTGTCTTTTATGTCTCAGCCATCTTGTGCCATCTATGTCTCTTATGTCTCAGCCATGTTGTGCTATCTATGTCTCATTTGTCTCAGCCATCCTGTGCCATCTAATGTCTTTTATGTCTTAGCTGTCTTGTGCTATCTTATGTCTCCCACGTCTAGGCTGTCTTGTGCCATCCATGTATCTTGTGTCTCAACCATCTTGTGCCATCTAACGCCATCCATGTCCCAGCTAACTTAGCCATCTACACCCCAAGGACAACATTAAGTTCATTTCACGCTCATCTATCTCTTTGTTTCTCCCTCGTCTTTGTGGTTGCCAGGCAAGACATATGGTTGTGTGTGTGTCTTGCTAATGATGGCTACCCTGGGGCCCACTTCCACAACCAAAAAAATTTTTAATGTATTTCTTTGAACAACCAGGCAATAAACAATTCCTAGGGAATCCCCCATTATCGTAGGTCTTTGGGTGTTCACTAATGGAGTTTGGTCTACTGTGCTGAGGAGACATCTACTATTATCTTTTCTTTTTTGCTGTCTACATGAGGGTGAGAAGATGGAAGTACTTACTGACTTGGCAGGTGGGTGACTAGGTGGTTGAGATGGATTGGATGGGTCTTGGCTGGACTTTGACCCATGCTAGATCACCAGCGTGATGGAAAGAAGACGTAAGTAGGGGGTCAGAATATGGAAGTATGCTACTGTAAATAGGGGTAATAATAAGGAATTATGCTACTGTAAGTAAGGGGTAAGAATATGGAAATATGCTACTGTAAATATGGGGTAAGAATATGGAAATATGCTACTGTAAGTAGGGGGTTAAATAAGGAAATATGTTATTGTAAGTAGGGGGTCGGAATATGGAAATATTACTACAAATAGGGGGTCAGACTATGGAAATATGGTACTGTGAGTAGGGGGACAGAAAATGGAAATTTTGCTGTAAATAGGGGGTCAGAATATAGAAATGTTTCTGTAAAAGGGGGGGGGGGGGNGGAGGAGGGGGGGGGGGGGGGTCAGAATATGGAAATATGTTACTGTGAGTAGGGGGTGAGAATATGGAAAAATTTTACTGTAAGTAGGGGTTGAGAATATGGAAATATGATGTTACGTCTCTTTCCCACCATGCTGGTGAATTTTTCGAGAGCAAAATTATTCTTAAATTTCATTTTTGTTCGTCAAATAACAATCGTTTAAGCCTGGGGGACTTGATACAAGATCAACACTTGTTAACACATAAGTGTTTGTAAAAATGTGAGAGTCCAGAGAGTCGCTGAAGACTAAGAACTTTACTGGACCAGAGTTTCCCAAACATGGAATCATTGGACCCCGAATGTCTGAAAGGAATTGGGTCGGTGTGCTCAAGTCCATTAAATAATCATCATGATCTTTTCTTCTTCTTTTCTTCTTTTCAGACTTTAAAAAAAAATTGTAATCTGTTGACATTTAACACTGTTTCCTTCCTTCTGTGTACAATTCAAATCTACTGATTGGTTCTTATTTTGACAGGAAATACCCGGCACTAGAAAGGAGTTTTGTAGGTTTTGTAGGAGGTCCAAAAGTGATTCGTGGTTTTTTATGAAATTAAACACAACGAAAGAAAGATAATGCTTAAAAGAAATTGGTAAAGGGGGGGGGGGGCAACAACAAAAATGTATCGCAGGCTCTAGGGTCACCGTGATCTGGTCCTTAAATTATGATCACAGAACCATATGCGATTACAAGCATGTTACTTATGAGACTGCAGCCCCCCCCCCCCAATCCAATAGTTACAGTGTTCTTTCAATACTTTTACTATGATATTTTCTTTACACATTTTTTTCTTTTAAATATCGAATTCGTTTAGTATCCTTGAAGCTCGCTCAGTTAATTGGTTAACATATGAATTATCAGTTATAAACATTTATTAAAAAAATAAGTATAAACGTCCTTTTTTTAAATGGACACTAAGATTACAAGCTCACATTATTTTGCTAAATGGGCACTAAGATTACAGCTGATAAAATCATGCTGNTTTTGTTTTTTTTATTTCATTTATGACCCTTTTAAGCCCCCCCCCCCCCCAGCTTTTATTGAATCCCACCCTGTTTCCAGTGCTGTACCTGATGGACTAGTAGCTCGGCCACCTCCACGTGGTTGTTGAGGGAGGCCAGATGGAGAGCCGTGTAGCCATCATCTTTCTTCTCATCCACAATCCAGGGTCTGGGCAGCTTGGTCAGTAGGATGCGCATGGCACTAGAAGGAACATAAGAAGGAACAAGTCAGACATGGAGAGATTCAACACATTTTTGAGGGGACACCTTGAAGGAGGATGAAATTGAAAAAAAACAAAAACCAAAAAAAACCATTTGTGCTAGAGATCAACCTGAGATGCCCAGATTTGCATGGCAGCGCATTGGGGTTAATTTGGGTATGGTTCTCTTCAAATCGTAGGCGAGACACAAGACAACAGTGAGATAACCACAATGTCAGTGCACCATCGCAAAAGTACACCAGACAAACTCTATCCCATTCGCATTACACCATTCTAACAGTAAGCAAGACAAAAACAGCCCAATTTATCAGTACACCATTCTAAAAGTAAGCAAGACAAAAACAGCCCAATTTATCAGTACACCATTCTAAAAGTAAGCAAGACAAAAACAGCCCAATTTATCAGTACACCATTCTAAAAGTTCACCAGACAGAAAAAAATCTCCCATTATCAGTACACCATTCTAAAAGTTCACCAGACAGAAAAAAATCTCCCATTATCAGTACACCATTCTAAAAGTTCACCAGACAGAAAAAAATCTCCCATTATCAGTACACCATTCTAAAAGTTCACCAGACAAAAAACAATCTCCCATTATCAGTACACCATTCTAAAAGTTCACAAGACTAAAAAAAATCTCCCATTATCAGTACACCATTCTGAAAGTTCACCAGACTAAAAAAAATCTCCCATTATCAGCACACCATTCTAAAAGTAAGCAAGACTAAAACAGGCCCCATTTATCAGTACACCATTCTCAAAGTACACCAGACAAATGCTCCCCCATTATCAGTACACCATTCTCAAAGTTCACCAGAAAAAAGCTCCCCCATTATCAGTACACCATTCTAAAAGTACATCAGACAAAAGCTCCCCCATTATCAGTACACCATTCTAAAAGTTCACCAGACAAAAAACAATCTCCCATTATCAGTACACCATTCTAAAAGTTCACAAGACTAAAAAAAAATCTCCCATTATCAGTACACCATTCTGAAAGTTCACCAGACTAAAAAAAATCTCCCATTATCAGCACACCATTCTAAAAGTAAGCAAGACTAAAACAGGCCCCATTTATCAGTACACCATTCTCAAAGTACACCAGACAAATGCTCCCCCATTATCAGTACACCATTCTCAAAGTTCACCAGAAAAAAGCTCCCCCATTATCAGTACACCATTCTAAAAGTACATCAGACAAAAGCTCCCCCATTATCAGTACACCATTCTAAAGGTACACCAGACAAAAGCTCCCCCATTATCAGTACACCATTTCAAAAGTACACCAGACTAAAGCTCCCCCATTATCAGTACACCATTCTCAAAGTTCACCAGAAAAAAGCTCCCCCATTATCAGTACACCATTCTAAAAGTACATCAGACAAAAGCTTCCCCATTATCAGTACACCATTCTAAAGGTACACCAGACAAAAGCTCCCCCATTATCAGTACACCATTTCAAAAGTACACCAGACAAACACTAGAATATAAAACAACAGGTTTTGTCCTACACTTACAACACAGCTCATATTTAGCAAGAGAGAGAGAGAGAGAGAGAGAGAGAGAGAGAGAGAGAGAGAGAGAGAGAGAGAGAGAGAGAGAGAGAGAGAGAGAGAGAGAGAGAGAGAGAGAGAGAGAGAGAGAGAGAGAGAGAGAGAGA